AACAAGCTTGTAAGGGCATAAAAGTCAGGCGCCGTTACTAATTTATGCATTTTTAGGTTATTCCGATTTAATGGAATGCTACCTGAAGCACCGTGATGAAACAACGAGTACGACAAACCAAACGGGCAATTTTACTCGTAAGTATCCAGAATTCGTTTTCTAAAGTTCCAGCAATCTATCAAAAATCCAAATATGAAAGAGGATTAAATTTTCTAAATTTTTTTTTGCTTAAATATTATTGAAACCTTAAAATTATTATTCCAATGTTTAGTGATGCCATCCCGCAATGTTGCTTTCGACATTTGGGTGGCAGGTATGATAGCTTCGGATTTTTGAAGATTTTTCTAAGGGCTCGACACCAACAAACACCCTCAACTGGGCTGTTTGCTATATTCTTCTGAACCACCCAGAAGTCCAGGAAAAATTGCACGAGGAATTGGATCGCGTAATTGGATCTGTTCGAAAGTGACAACCGCCGACAAGAATTCGTTGCCCTATTTGAATGCCGTTGTCAATGTAGTTGGAAAATTTGGTTGAAACTAAAATATGAATTTAAGAATCCCAGCGGTTGGCCAACATTTTGCCCTCAAAATTTGCAACGTGCTGCGGAGGATGCCAAAAGGGGCGGCCACACATTAAAGCTGGTACTGCCGTATGCCACAGATCAAGTACGGTTATGTTGGATGAGAAGGTAAGCATTTTATGCATTTTAAAGAACCAAATTCAGCCTCGGCGCACAATAAAGAATACAGAAGTAAAATGCATTGTATTACCGTGTCAATTCGATTCCTTTTCACCCTTTAAAGCTTTCCAGCGTTCCAGTTAATGACTTAGTACATATTTTAATTAAGATTGGTTTTTTTTGTTGAGTCGTAGGATGTAGTAGTGGTAGTAGGAGTAAAACTATAAAAATTTTCTATGAATAGGGTTAGCATGTCAATTTTTATGAATTCCAAGCCGTTTTTTTATTTTAAAAGCATGAGGACGTTATAATAAAATTAATTTTTCTAAATTAGTAGCTTAACTTTTTCATACTTTCTACTCCGGGCAAGGGTCGAATCAGGCCAATCATTTTACTCTTTTTAGCCAAATTCCAAATTGGAGTAATCCACTTTATCATTAACATGATTTTCATTTCTTCTTATTCCAGATCTTCCCCGACCCATACACCTTCAATCCGTCTCGATTTCTAAACCCCGATGGCTCGAGCAAGAAGATCGAAGAGCTAATCCCATTCTCGATGGCGTTACGTCGGCAGGCGAAGGTCTGGCCCGAGCCGAGCTTTACCTATTCCTCGCCAATATATTTCAGCGATTTACGGTATCATTTTCAATAAGTGCCCAACATTATTTTGAAGCTGACAGCCGACGTGAGCCGTAATGGAAAGGCGAAGGGACAGGTTGTCACGGCGAAGAAGTATCTTTGCAATGTTGCAGAAAGACATTGATCATAAAGCTCTCTGGATCTCTCTCTCCTTTTCTCTCTCTATCTCTCTCCCTCGTTTCTCTCTCTCTCCCTCCAGCCCTCTCTTTTTCCATCTCTCTCCCTCTCGTGGGCGAGCTTATAAATATTAGCTTGAGCTTGCATTTATTTGACATCAAAATTAGTCGTGCAGCTAAGCAGTCGGCTTCGGGTTTCCAGGCTAAAATGCTTAGTTTAGACCGTATTTGCAATTTTTAATCTCTTCCTTCGCCAGTAATTAGAAAGTCGCGCAAATAATGTACATAGAAAGCAAAAAAGATTTGACCTTTTTGCATAAGGTTGCTCGCACTTCGTCACAATCCCGGGCAGCCCAACGATGGCTGTCGTGGCTGTTGGGCTCAACCGTGTCGGAAGTCTGTAATGTTCCAGATCGAAATAGAAGAAGAACGAAGCCTAAAAAGCAGCCGAATAATCAACGATGTCGCCTAGGCATTTGAATGCCCACCACAAGGCAATTAAACGTCTTGAACTCGTCGGGTCGCCCGTAGGATGTCCAAAAGGCGTAGTCCCAAGTGGAGCCGTCGATCCATTGAAACTGGCCACTACTCTGGAAGAACGCCGCCGTTCCTGTTTTTTTAATTTTGTTATTCCCGGGAAGAACACTGAAAAAGCGGTCCTTCACCGCCATAAATTTAAGAAATAAACATTTAAAGGGCTGCCGACGACATGTGGATCGCCCCCCCCCCCTTCAACGACATGTAATCATCGCGCACTCAAAAACTATTTTTCGCCCCAAGAATCGGTTTCACTCAAATATTTTACATTTCTTTTGCAACAAAATCACTTTTCTGGCACTTCTCGGCACTGACCCTTTCGTTATCTGCCCACTAGGTTAAATCCTCACGCTCACTAATTTTGACTTCCGAGCCCCTTTAAGAAAGCCGAACCCACGTCGCGCTTGGCTCCAAGGTAAGTCGAATGGCTGCCCGCAGCTGCCGCAATTTCTAAATTCCGGTAAATTCCGGGAAACAAAGGCCAACCAAGAATATTCTCATGTTCGAGGTAGCTCAGCACTGAAGCGGGTTTGGCCCCCAACCAATGCATGTCTCCTGGCCTTCACCACTTTTCGACGGAGGGGTCACCTAGGGCAAAATTTAGAGACCGGATAAGAGAGCGAGAGAGAGAAAGAGCGAGATTACGTTACCCTATAGCAACTACACACTTCGACCCTGCCCACCCCTCATCGCAAAGCGGCTTCTCGGAGCTTCACCGCAGCTTGGCCCATTGGCCGCTTGCAGATCCCTTTGTTCAAGTCGGTGCACGACTTTTGCTCGAATCGGCCGTCTCCCTAAAAACTAAGGAATATGCTTTATGCGGAATCGCCTAAATACCCGGCTTTGCCGAGACTTACGTTTTTAAGAATGCAAAACCGTGTCATCGTTTTGTCGAGGACTTCAACGGCCCATTTGCCAACTTTTTGGCTTACCGGCGACCCGTCCATCCAATAGTGTTGCGTGTCGTTGCGCGTCATCTGAAGATCTTAACGTGGAAGTGCCAAGTTAAAATTTATAGGTTAGATGTTGAAAACGGACCACCATCGCGCCAACCCAGGCATCGTTTCCGGGGATTTTCGTTGAAATCATGTCTGAATTTACGACTTACAAGGGAACCTCAAGTTGGCACGGTGGAATTTCGAAAAACGCTCGCGGCTACCCCTAGGTTTTCGACTATGGCGATTCCAACGGTCTAGTCAGAATTTCCTAAATGGGCCTCTGGACAGAGATGCAGCACTTCCGGAAAATGATGATTTACATCCGGAAAATTAACATTAGCGATAGGTTTATGCGGCCCTCCCATCACTATGGAATCACCAGTTGAATGGCCGAGTGGTAAGCGACTCACTTGATAGGATGCTGACCAGGGTTCGAATCCGCTCGCAATTTTTTATTTTGCTTTTTGACCGGAACTTTCTGCCCAACTCCAAGTTTCCGTTACTTTTTTTCGAAAATTCGTTCTGTTTCTGAAATGCCTAAAAACGTTAGCGAAGCCAAAAAAATTCCAAAATCTCATCCGAGTGGCCCATTTGTAAAAAAACCGGAGATGGGAACACCCAGCTGTTCGCATAATTTTTGCGAATTTTTGAGGCTTCTTTGGAGTAGCCAGCCTGGAGCCATAACCAAAAAATTTTCTTATAGCAAAAACCAAAAGTTAGAGTTGAGCAGAAACTTCCGGTCAAAAAGCAAAATAAAAAAATTGCGAGCGGATTCGAACCCTGGTCAGCATCCTATCAAGTGAGTCGCTTACCACTCGGCCATTCAACTGGTGATTCCATAGTGATGGGAGGGCCTCATAAACCTATCGCTAATGCTAATTTTTCGGATGTAAATCATCATTTTCCGGAAGTGCTGTATCTCTGTCCAGAGGCCCATTTAGGAAATTCTGACTAGACCGTTGGAATCGCCATAGTCGAAAACCTAGGGGTAGCCGCGAGCGTTTTTCGAAATTCCACCGTGCCAACTTGAGGTTCCCTTGTTAGCGGTTTTAAAGTGACAGCCAGTGAGAGAGAGAGCGAGAGAGAGAGAGAGAGAGAGAGAGAGAGAGAGAGAGAGAGAGAGCGAAAGAGAGAGAGCTGTAGGGCGAGAGGGAAAGGCACTTCTTGAAAGGCTCACCTTCAATGAACTGGTTCTCCTCGTCATTCAAAATTGACGTCAGATGCGCTCCTTGCTCCGCGCACTCGGCTTCGGCGTGCCAGAATGCCTGTCCGTTAACCATCTAAAGAGCGGAAATGAAACAACAAAAAACCCGACCTTGTAGCAGCTGTTCATCACTTTATAAGGCGTCCATCCCTCTTCGCAGTCCTGAAATGGGTTTGGAACGTTTAAGATTGCAATATATACCCTCAAATATGCCGACTGTAGATTTGATTGGGAACTTACCAGTCAAGGAGATTTTGTAGTACAAAGCTTACCTCAGCGTGAACCCCGACAAAAAGTACCGTAAGTATGAAGGCACCAAACATGGCTCCGAAGGCGACAAAAAACATTAGCAAGTTGACGGCTTATATTCGATCAAAAAATTTGGTATTCATTCGGGTTCAAAGATCTTTTTCGAAGTTTCGAGCAACTATTCGGAATTTCAGATCTACAGTTCGGGGCGTCGGAGGTGGTCTGACCGTTTTTATGGGAATCAGGGCTTTTTATAATCATATACAAAGTGATCCGAAAAATGTCGTTTTTTGAAGATTTAGAAAACTCCCGAAAAGGTAAAAAACAAGTGATTTTTCTTTTTGAAATTAACTATGCAAAAAAGGTTTAATAAATTAAAATAAATTAAATAAATTAAGAAATTAAATAAAAATAAATATTTCTATTGTAGCATCGGCAAAAAATTAGTTTTTGCAGCGCAAAATTAAAAAAGCATTTTTTCTAGATCTCGAGAAAATTTAAACAACGAAAGTAATGTATTCAATTTTGGGCAATTTATATTTTGTTATTTTGGCATTAAGCCTCGGATCTTTGCTGTATTAAACCGTTGCAAGAAGGTTTTTTTCTTGCGTCGGGAAGCTAGCGGAGCTCGTTAAGATAATTCTCACAAAAAGACAGGCAAAAATCAATTTATTAAACAAATTCACAAAAAAATACGATAATCAAGATGACGATTTCAGTTCACCCATCATAAACACGAACCCGATTCCGACAACAATTCCAAGTACCTGGAATTTTATCGTTTCAATTATGCAATCTTTTTATTTTTAGCCTACCTGTAATACAGTAACCAGCAGTGATTCCCCCAAATTTTCCTTTGCCAATTCTTGGCATGCGTCCCGAATTTCGGGGATCTAGTACGTTACGGTCAGTAATTTCATTAAAATTTAAATACCAAGGTCCCCAGAAAAATATACAAATACATCCCAGCGGAAAGGGCAAAGATGTAATCATCGTAGCTTTCATTTACCTAAAAGACGAGCAACATTATTGACTTTATAAAATGCAACTTGTAACAAAAAAGCAATCACCACTTCTAATCCATTAAATTGAATTAGTTGTATAATTTACCCGATCCAAAATCACGCCAACACCAAATCCGATGTAAGACAGAACGATAGGGATCAAATTAAATAGCAGGGCTTTCTTGTAGCCCAGTCCTGAGTTGATTAAGATAGCCAGGGTGCCTGAATTAACATCATTTAGAGTTTTTAAAAATTTTTTACCTAATTCCTGGGGAAATTGATTAGTGAGAATTGCCGATCCGACGCTGAACCCGTTCATGATGTCGTCGGCAAAGGCCGCCCCTAGGAAATCTGCATAAATGAATTTTACAGCTATCTCGCACTCGATCTATGTGTCGCTGTCTCTCTCGCTCTCTCTCTCTATCTCTCTGGCCCGCTGCCCCTATCTCGGCCGTTCGCTCTCTCTCTCTCTCTCTCCTCTCTCTCTCTCTCTCTCTCTCTCTATCTCTCTGGCCCTCTATCCCCCTTTATCTATGTTTTGCTCTCTCTTTCGCTCTCTCTCCCTCTGTCTCGCTCTCTCCCTCTCTCTCTCTCTCTCTCTCTCTCTCTCTCTCTCTCTCTCGCTCTCTCTATCTCTCACTTACCAACCGACATCCCGTCGACAAAATTGTTAGCGCTAGACCCAAAAATTATCATGTAGGCGACATTGGCAATCTGAAAAAATATAATCAAGTTCATGGGTATTTAAAACTGCCTAGATTCTAATTTAAGGCACTCTCAAAAATTGGGCTTACCTCATCTTTCGGTGACCGGATTACCTTCTTCTCCACAATATTAATGTCGACCGAGATTTGATCGTCCTTGTTTTTCTAAGCCTTTTTGATCTGTATATTTAACTTTCCTACAGTTCCCATCTTCTTGCCATTAATCAATATCTGGGGAGCCATTCCATTTTGGGTCAAATTTTCAAGCGAGCCAGATGATTTCTGGTGTTCTTCTGTTGGTGTCATGAAGCGGAGTGGCGGGGAACGCTGAAATTAATCATTTAACAGATTAAGCGTGTATAAATCCATAGAATAACGGCAAGAACAAAAATGGATTTGTTAGTTCAATGCATTAAATCAGCAATTTTTACCCTATGGACAACTTCATTGTTGAACACCCTTAGAAATCCCGGTTCCTAATCAAATTTTTAAGTTAGTGATGCTAAGAATTAAGCTTACTTCTCCCGATCTTTTCCTCTGATTATCCTCTCCAAAATTTACCCCTTCGAGTCGATCATTTGTTTGTAGCATGGCGATTTGTCTTCTGGATGATAGCTAAAGCAAGTGATGAAGGGAGAGAGAGAGAGAGAGAGAGAGAGAGAGAGAGAGAGAGAGAGAGAGTAGGAGAGAGTAAGAGAGAGAGAGAGGGAGATAAAAATGTTTATAAAAACCTACCCGCCTAGTCAAATCGTTGTTGATCATGGCGACTTCGAGCTCAGCCTGCAGAAGGGGTTCTTAGGATTGACGTAACAGAAGCTTAGATCTTGGCTGAAGCTAGGGCTTGAGCTTAAGCTTGGGCTTAGGTTCAGGATTGAGCTTATGCTTTGGCTTCGGCTCAGGTTCAGGCTAGGCTTAGGTTTAGACTTAGACTTGGGAGCAAGCCCAGGTTCAGGCTTAGGCCTAAGCTTAAAAATAATTTTTTAACGCCGATTACTTACCATAATCTCCTCCCTCTCATCAGCCTCACTTCCGACCTCACTTTGCCTATCAATAACACTATTCTGCCTCGATAGGATACTTTCAATCGTGCTGACGTGGATTTTGCGATGATTTTCGCGTTTCTAAATTCATTTGCGACACCTTAAGAGAACTATAACCTTTTTCAGCAAGATACCATACATTAAAATACGGTCGACAGCCAGGAATGCGTACAAAGCGCAGATGATGATCCAGCACTTGACTTTATAGTCATTTTCCGGCCCGAGCTCGACCAGGCTGAAGGCCTAAATGATCTTCTTTAGACAATTAACACCCAGATTTTTTTGTAGTTCTGTAGGTTTTATTAAATTTATTCTCAAAATATGTTATTTTCAGGTAATGACGCATGAATTTTTTAATTTTTGAAGCCAACTTTACCTGTGGTATCATCACGAACATCGTGGAACCGGTGAGGGCACCTAAATCAGATTTTGCAACGAGTTTAACGTATAGTTCCATCAAGCTACTATTTACATGCCTATGCCAAGCGCGATTAAGAAGGTCATAATCCTCTCATATAGCTTCTTGCTGAACAGCGGCATTAACAGGATGCCAAGTGGGGCAGAAAATGAACAACCGCTGATGATTAGCATCCCGAAGAGCCATGCTAAAAAGACTAGGTTTAATGAATTTAAACTTTTCGGAATTCAGTGGAAACGCACTAGTTGTGATTTAATCGTATTATTATTGTTTTTTTTGTCCTGTATGATTTAAAATCTTGTATATTTAAATACGCTTGCGCGAATTTTTCCTCAATATACCATCAAATTTTTTGTTCCATTTTTTACCAGGCA